GCCTTTTCTGCTACTGAAAACTTCAGCAATCTGGGCAGTGGAGGTTCACGTGGCCCCAGCTATACATCAAATGCTGGGACCCAGCTGAGGGGGATTGTCAGGGGGGTTTCCCAAGTGGTTTGAATTAGTTCTTGGGCTTCACCCAGCTTTTCTTAGCTGGAACTTCTGGAACATGGTTATTGCAAAAGGATATTAAAGCATTAATCATCTGATTATAAAAAAGTTAAGACACCAAAGGTTCCTGTTCTTTTTTCCAACTCTTATTATTTAATTTTCTTTAAGATCTAAGACAAACTCAAAAGAAAAGCTGGAATGCAAGTCACCGTGAAATGACGTACATCTCACTGCAGTGTGTGGGAAGAGCTGGCTGATTGTGAAACAGCCAAGCAGTGTTGCTAAGCAGCTGCTTTAAAACAGTAACGTCTTCTTCCATCACACATAAAGATTCGGAATTTCTCAAATTCTCAATACAGAAAACCCCACATTCATAAGAAAAGAAAAAAAAAAAACAACAGAAAAGAAAAAACAAATAGAATCTTTCATTCACTTACATTCCCGTAATTACCAAGTAAGGTTAGTCAAAAATCATTGGAGTGACAACATGTTCAATGTTCTTTCAGTTCAAAATATGTAAGACTTCACTTTAGGTAAGATAACTCGCTTTACTATAAATCAATTTGTATCTTCCATGGAAGTTTGTCAATAACATTTCATGCCTTTAGTGTGTGAGTCAGAAAACACCAACTAAGTCACAGTAATAAATAAGGCTGTCTTTGCAACAACACTAATCCTAAAGGTCAACCACTTTATTCAGGACTTTAAGGATGCATGTACACTTTAATTCAGAGAGAGGTGTGAAGAAGGAAAAAGCCTGACTCCAGCTAACACTGGAATCATGCCCAGTTCTCCTCAGCTGGAGGTAAAAGTATAAGCTCAACATCTTGACAGAAACCGGAATGGGATACAGGAGGAGAAGGCAGAGAACTCACAGCCCACAGAAAACGTTTGTCTGTGGGGATACCATTTTTGTTTCCATTTATCCTATCCTGGTTTTCATTCAGAATAGTATCTCCCCATCTCCACCACTTTTTTTTTTTCCCTTTTGTTCATCAGAGTTTTCCTTCCTACATCTGTATCACCAAAGACTAGGCTTTTATTTCTGTGTGGCACAAAGTTTTCATTCAGAATATTATCTCTCCATCCCCACCACGTTTTTTTTCCTTTTGTTCATCAGAGGTTTCCTTCCTACATCTGTATCACCAAAGACTAGGCTTTTATTTCTGTGTGGCACAAAGATCTGGTAACTTTTTACGTCTCCCATAAAACAGTCTTCCTTATGCACAGAGAGAACACCACATTCCCTACTCAGGGTACAGCACCAGCAACCTCTACCAGCTGCTCATTATTCTCAGCCCAAGCACTATTCATTATCACAGGACTATCTAGATATTAAAATGGGCAGTATAATTATTCAAATGCAACAATTCCGAGGGGGAAAAAAAAAGCCACACTAAAAAGTTACTGCCAGTATGCAGCCACAGAAGCAGCTCAGAGAAACAATACTAAGAGAAGCATCATCAAGAGTGCTATGCTGGGTACATCACAGAAAATATTTGCATCTCTGAGGAAAATGCAAAAAAACTAAAGGAATGTGACCTACAGGACAAATTTCTCTGCTCACTTACTGTCCAATGCTGCAAGAAAATAAACCCAGTAAGGTACAGATACTGATCTGGTACTCTAGTCCTGTACTCATCAGGGTGAAAGAAATAAAGCAGGACATAGCCATTTGGAAAAAGGAGATTAGAAGAACAGGAATAGGTTAATGACCCAAAGAGGCGGTGAAACATATCTTGATTGTTTAACAATTAGAAGTTTTTACACACTGGCGTAAAGCTTTCTCATTTCCACTCTTTTATCATATATCTACATGTAAACATATATGTGCGTTAGAGAAGGAAACTCCAGCCCCTTGAGAGAGCACAAAAACTGGGTAAACACTGATATTTTTCCACTGTCAACTTTTACAAGCATTAGCATGAGGCCAAATTCTACAGGCTCTAAATGTCTCCACAAATGTGGCAATCAGGGAAATAAAATCAGCCTAAGTCACACATTCTAAATGACACACCTTGGAACAAACATGGTTGCCTATACTGCATCAGCACTTCACAAAATATGATCACAAAATGTAAGCAAATGCCAAGGATGCAGATGACTAAAGTACAACTTGATTTCTCAGAATATTAATTAATAGCATCTAGCCAGGATATTAACAATGAGCATTTTTTTGAAAGAGAAAATTAGCATAAAATATTATCAGAGCACAAACCTGTAAGCAAAGAAACCTAAACCAAAAAAGATTCTGAAGATGGCCTGACAAATAGACTACAGAAATGAAATTATATCCATTACTTCAGCTGCTTGATCCTGATTGCCCTGTCCACTGTGTTCCCTGATCTGCAGCATATGAGCTGAAAAGCCATTGAAAGGCAACTGTAAAGCTAATCATGTTTAAGATGATGCACATAAGTAAAGTAGCAGCAATCACTATTGATGCAAACAGTATAAAAATAGAAGGACACAGATTGCTCAGATGTACCACACACACAAAGTAGTTCAAGATTTGGAACCTAATCTACTCTTTAGGTTGTATGTTAATTATGAAGAACAAATATGAGGCAAGAATATATGTAGCCTTTCACTGAAAGACCTAGGCAAAATGCTAGATCATTAAAATTCAGAAAAAAATATTTGAGAGATCATAATGAAAGCTAGTGACCATAGCATCTTATTTTTCACAGAAACCATCTATAGTGAGTTTTGGAAGCTGTAACATAAAAAACATATTAAAATTTATTCACTGACATAGGATTTTGGAGTCTACATAAACTATGTTAAAACACTGGCTAAAAATTCCTATGGCAGAAGTAAAACATGATCATAGTTGAAACAGAGAAAATAGTAAGTATTAGTTTCCTACTGAAACAGTTCAGCATTTTCAAGTTTCACTAGTAAGCTCCCATGTGCTTTACTATATTTGTGAAGGGGTCAGGAAGCTGAGAAAGCTAGATATGCACACCACACAAACTAATGCAGTGCATAGGAGCTGAATGATTTATGTTAAGTGAATAATCAATATGAATGATTGCATGTGAAATTCACTGAGATTTTTATATATTAGAGCATATGGGAGAGAAGAAAACCACTTCTAAAAAGACTATTTACAGTAACCCAAGCACTGTTTAGGAAGTGTCCAGACAAGACCTCAAAAATGGAAGGATGCAGCACTGCTTAGAGCAGATTGCTCTAGCATTATGCCCATACACACATGCAGATATAAGCATGTATAAAGATACACTTAAGTACGCGTACATACACACACAGAGAAAATAAGAATGTTTAATTGCAATTAACACTAACTACTTCCATCAAAATTCAGCCTCCAAGTCCTAGGGAGGCCTGTCTGTGCTCTAGTCATGAAGGCTGACTCCCAGATGCTCAGGAACATCTGGCAATGTCTCTCCTAGGAAAGAGCCCGTTTGGGTGGGAGGGCTGCATGCCTGTCACAGCCAGTAAAGGCTGTTCCCAGCTGGTTCTCTTCCCATAAATCCAACAGAGGGCCTGCTCCACCTGGGAAAGATCTGTCCTGCCTCTCCATCTGAGTGACGGTGGAAGCCACAAACCACAGGGTAACAGTGAGGGAGTTTGCAGCTCCAAGTACCTAGACAGCTGGACAACTTCTTGGTGTCAGAGCTGGCCTTTGTGCCATGGTCCCTGCTTAGGAGGTTGTTGCCACCCTAAAGTGGACACGCTGGAACAAAGACCTAAACAAGAAGCACAACCCGAGCAAAGCAGGGCATTACTTGGGGAAGTACTGTATCATATGATGAATTTCTGCTAACACACGATCATCAGGATAGGTTTACCATCCTAGGAGACAATCATTAATAAACAGGACACACACGTACTGGATGCTTGAGACTGGGTCACAAAATTGGAGGGGGTCTTCCAGATTCCTATCTGCAATGGAAAAATGCACATGCCCCCTGAGACTAAGCAGCCTTTAAACTTTATTCAGCATACCACTATGTGACTACAGCTTTAACACACTGCCTGTGTTGAATTTTCCGTGTCATCCTTTGGGTTCAGTTGCAAATTTACAGCTTCTGCACTGACCCACATTTCCTTTCTTCATCTGCCACAAAATGCTTGACTGCAGCACGCTGATGAAATTACAGCCAGGCATAAACAAGAGAGTAAACAGAAAGCTATGTTAACTTAAGGTGACACCAAGTGCGGAAAGCAGCGTTTGTAAATGAGCTCAAACCGCTATTTCCAAACTTCTGAGGGGCTGCTGTCAGCACGTGCGAAGCGGCACAGGACAAGCCTAAGACCCAGAGCCGCCTCGGCGCAGCACTGGCTCCGCACGGCCTGTGCCCTTGGAGGGGCGGCCCGCGGCCCGCCCTGCTCCGCCGCCGGGCCCGGGCACGGCACCCGCGGCACGGAGGGCGACACCGACCGGAAGGGGCCCCGTACGCATGCTCGGCCCCGCCCTTCGGCGCCCTCTCCTGGCGCGTGCTCGCGCTGCCGCTTGGCGCCGCGCCCGGCCCCGCCCCCGCTGAGGCGCGGCCGCGAGGGAGGAGCTCCGCCCTCACGGCCCCGCCCACGGCCGCCCCTCTCGCCCCGCCTTAAGGCGGCACGGCGCAATTACCGCCTGCGTCCCGCCGGCTGCTGGCGAGACGTTTGCACGGTGCCCCCTTAACGACGCAGCGGTCCCGCGCACGTCCCGGAAACGGAAGCCAGCGGGGCCTGTGGGGTGACGGCCAGTGCTGACGTTTCCCCGGTCGGCGGCGGCCGCGGCTCCTCGCGATCCAGCCGAGTCTCGCTGGGCGGCCTCGCCCCGCGGGCCGGGCTGGGCACGGCTCCGCCGCGGGCCCCGCGCCGCGCTCCCGGTGAGTGCCCGCGCTGCCGCCTGGCCGCTCCGTAAGCGGGACCGCGACCCGAGGCGGTTTTCGTGACGCGGAGCTGCCCCCGGCCCAGTCCCGGCGGGGAAAGAGGAGGCACCGGTGCCTGCCGACCGCGGGGATAGGCGGCGGTCTGCGCTACGGCAGCCGGGGCGGGCAGGGCCCTCGGCGGCAGCAGGTCTGGCCTCCCGGCCCCGCCGCAGCCCCGCACGGGACTGGCCCAGCGCAGAGGCAGCGGCGGGCGCGTACACCGGGCTCTGCCCTCATCGTTTTCCCGTGAAAACGAGGGCGTTGGGCCGTAAGCGAGACAGCCGTTCCCTGCCGCTGCCTCGGGGGCGCCTCCCCGTCGTCAGCCGGGTAATTTTAGAAGGTGGAAACTCCGCAGCTGAGGCTGAGCGGAGCTGCAGTAGCTCCAGGCATTCCCAGCTGTGAAACTGCCGCCTCTCCCTGACAGGGTTAGACTCGCAGTTGGTCTTAATCCATGGTTGTGTACATTTAGTACATGTTTATTGTACTGTTTTTAAGCGTACCTTTTGCTTGTTATCTTTCTAAACAGCTGCTATCTTTTAAAGCAGCTGTTTAAACTGCTGTTACCTGTTAAGCCTCTTTTTTTCCCCAAACCCTGTAGATTAGATCTTGCTAGTTTAGCTAGAGGGATCTGGCTGGAGGCTTATGCTGGGGGGCGGGCAGTCTGTCTCAGAATTGCTTCGCTGCTGGTTTGTTATGCCGTAGTAAGACATCCACTATTTCTGCTGCCCCTTTATCCCTGGAATGCCGGGACTCGTGGCCTTGCTCAGCCCGAGCCTGCTGCAGGCAGCCCAGCCGGGCTCAGCCCCGCTCCGGGTGTCTGCGCTGCTGCGTGCTGTACTGAACTGCCCGGTTCTGGGCTGCTCAGCACGCTCACCTTCTGCAGTGCACTTGCTGCTAATGCCCTTCTGGCTGCCTGCCTGCCTGCCCACGCTGGCTACCTGCTGAAACATCTTGCGTGGCTTTTTGCCTGGAGTGTGTCTCTCGACTTGGATGGACTGTCACAAGGTCTATTAATTTCTGTACTTGGCAGCCCTTGGAAACACTGCTGACTTATGATTTCTTAATGTGGTAGTAAGAGCAGTTTATATGAAAATGCTTAAACTCATCTCCTTAGCAAAGGAATTGAATTATTCCTATTGTAAGCCTTTTGGAATTCTGCAGAGGAAACATTAATTTCTTAGGACATAATTAACCTCCTGTATTTGGAGAGATGTGGAATTCTGGAAACTAATTTTAAATATGGAGTATTCCCATGACTTCTGTGTGTTGGTCATCCTATCAAATTTCTTAGCTGGTATATCCAAGTGTTATAATTAAATTCTGTCACTGATTGCCATTTTAGTAGCTCAAAGCTTACTGAGGTGCAGCACTATTTTTAAAGGTTTGCGGGTTTTGGTTTTTTTTTTAACACATTGTGATTATCACAGAAAATTACCTGGAAAACATTTTGAGCATCCATTTTGCTGAGTCTGTTTGTTAGAGCCTATTAAAGATAATGCTTTTTTAGAATTATCTGGAATAATATGACTTGTAGTCCTTGTAAGGAAACTTTGGAGTTTTACCACTTCAGCTAACATGTAGAAGTCCCCTTCCAGCACTGTAAGAAGAGGGACATCAATTTCTGTTAGTGTACTGGTTTGCAAATACTCTACTGGCAGAGTTCCTTAGGAAACACAGACTTCTTTTCTAATTTAATATTGAGATGGCATTGTAATGGATATCATTGCTTGTACATTAAATCTGAAATGTGTAAATATATTCATTTGTGCCATTTGCCATACCCAACTCCTGCACTTATATGGGATTTATTTATCCTACATCTTCTGAAGCTCCTGGAGACTTTGTTCTGCACTGTGACCTTAGTATCAGGGGAGGGTGGGTGAGACTGGCAGGTGCTTTTGGGGTTTTGTTGCTGATTTAACCTACCAAGTTGGTGTCAATAGTAACTCTCAATTAGATAAAGCATTCTGGAGTTTGGCTTACATGGGAGCCTTGTTTTAGCTCTTTTGGAATTTATCTTTTATTATTTCTAAATAAAGCATTTTAGCATTTTAAAACCCTTTAAACCATGCTTTTTGGAGTTTGTGCAGCTGATAAATCTCAATGTGTATATACAGTGGGCTGCTTTGTTAGCCACCTTGATGCCCTGTCTATTAAATAAAATCAGAATGTAGCTAGTGGTGCATTCTTCATTTCAATAAACGGACTGGCCTTTCTTATTTGAGGCAGGGGGAAGTCCTAAAAATCTTTGCAGCTCTCACCTGTTTTGATTACAGAGACTCCCATTATTGAGAATTTGGCTTTCAGTTCTGAAAGGAGGAGCTCAAATGTGAGATTCCAATTTGGGCTATCAGCAAGGAAGGTGTTTCAGCTGAGTACAGGACAGCAACACTGGAAGTGGAAGATAAACAAGGAGTACTTGAAGTGCTCCATTTCAGCACTAGCTGTGATGTTACAAATTTTTGCTCTTCAGACAGGTTTTGGTTTGCCCTTAATCAGAATTTTAGTTTGCTAATTCCACCATGTGTTCTCCTGAATATCTTGCCACCTAATAGAGGGGGTGGAGTGGTTTAGCGTGTTGACTAGAGTGTGTACCCCTCAGAAATTAACTTTTTATGGTTTCCTAAGTGTAAATCATGGTATGGTTTAGGCTTATATGTGAGATTTGTGTTTCTAGTGAGCAAAAATAGTCTGTTTTTCCAATACATCCATTAAAAACTACAATATGAATTTTGCTTATTAAAATGCAGGTATGTTTGTAGGGTTACTGAAATGGGAAACTCAGCTTGATTGATGAAAGCTGCTTTAAATGCAACTAAATAATAATAATAAATAATGCTGAATTTTGCTGGCAAAATATTTTGCTTCTGGTCATATTGTCCTTGCAAGATGCAGAGTTTCTAGGCTGTTCTGCATGATTTTATTCTGTCATGTAGCATATTGCTGATAAGAGGATGAAAAGCAATTGGCATTCTTTCTGGAAGTCTGTCTGGACTGTTTTGTTTGGTTTTTTTCCATGGTGAATTCAATGCACATTTGTTGCATTGAATAACAGTGAAAACAGTGAAATCCTTCCTAATTGAAGTGTGGTATCTCTCTTTTTAAGTAGGCCATCAGGATTGCCTAAAATTAACTTCAGGCCAATATTTCCTAAAAATAACTTTAAAAAGTAAAACTTGTGCACTTTCTGGAATGCAAAGTAGAATTCTTACTCAAAAGTTACTTGAATAATTAATTTGTGAAGGCATAGCTTCAACTAGTTTTAAATTTTATCTTTAAATTTTTTCCCAGATCCTTCTGAGTTGTACTTGAAGCCGCCAAAATGGTTCTGGCAGATCTTGGAAGAAAAATAACTTCAGCATTGCGCTCACTGAGCAATGCCACAATTATCAATGAAGAGGTATGTAGTGTACAAATGTGAAGACTTTAGCACTGGAAAAGTTCTGTGGAAAAGTTCTTAAAGGCTGATGAGAAGCTTGAAGTGGGCTACCTAGACTTTTTCTTTCCTTCAAGTACAATTTCTGCTAAAGGTTTTGACCCACTAACAGTACTGCCAGAACTTACAGCTGGATTTATACATGGGTCACCACCTCAGACATAGTGGGTCCCATGGTCAAAGGGTCCTTGGGCCTGGTGGCTGTATTCAGGGAGGTGAGTGTTCTTGGGAGGCAGTGTGTGCCTAAGTTTGGATGGAAGGTAGGTGCCTGCTCTGATTTATGTGTGTGGGCACAAGCAGACTATGCAGATGTGGATTAGGCTGCTAGGAGCTGAAATGTGGAAGAACAAATGTCAGCTTTGCTGTCTGAATTATGAGGAATTTCCTGCATTTATATTCAAACCAGTGTGCAGTTCTGGAATTTTGTTTGGCTTAGTATTGCCTGTATTTTCTCTAAGTAAGGGTTTGAAATTAGAATTCAGTGTGTTCTGTCATAGGAGTTCAATGCAAGATGGAAAACTAACTAATGTGATGTTTCAAAGTGTCTCTGAGTACACAGATTGCTAGAAATTCTTTTCAGGTGGAAAGATGTGTGGCTTAAAGTAACTAAAAAATAGCCTCATTGAGAGCTCGAGGGTTAGAACTTATGTATAGAGAAAATGCTTTAATGTGTCTTCTGCCAGGAGACAAAAAATTCCTCATTGAATTAAATACAGCCCAGTTTAATTTTTTCATTAATGGAAGCTTTTATCTTGCAAGAGCTCAAGATGTGAAAATGAGGCCATTTTTGCAGGTGTTACTTTCAGAAAAATGTTTCTATTCAAGACTTTGAAAACTCAGAATAAGCAGAGTTTCTAGCTGAGGCACCTGCTTGCCTAAAAGGCATACAATTAGAGCAGCAGTCCAGTTACTGAACATGCAGGTAGCAGGGTGTCCATCTTTAGCTGAGGAATAGTGTTACATAAGGTTTTTTTGTGTACTCTCTAAGGAGTACCCAGAGGGGAGTCCAGGAAGTCTTGCTGCCACATGAGCTGTTGGCCATAATGCAGTAGGAAGTGTTTTGTGTTAGATGGTGTTGTGATCTGAGGGTTTTTTTGTGTACTGTCTAAGGAGTACCCAGAGGGGAGTCCAGGAAGTCTTGCTGCCACATGAGCTGTTGGCCATAATGCAGTAGGAAGTGTTTAGTGTTCTAGAGTGTGCAGTTGTTACAGTTGAGAACCCTTCCCTTTCAGATTTAAATTGTTTTTACGTAGGAGCAAATGCACAGACTTTCTTTGTGACAGTTGATTTAATGGTAGGACTACATGCATTTAATTTGTGAAAGCCATGGTTATATCATAAATAGACTTTCACATTCTTATTTTGACCTAATAGTGGCCTGATTAATTTCTCTGTATTGTAAAACAATTTTTCTGATTTTTCTTTTATACTCCAAAGGTTTTAAATGCTATGTTAAAAGAAGTATGTACAGCATTACTGGAAGCTGATGTTAATATCAAACTTGTGAAGCAACTTAGAGAAAATGTCAAGTAAGTGAAATAATCAAAATGCATTTAACTTTTGATATTTGTAAAAGTTGTAATTTGGGGTTACAAAAGAACAACTATAATTTGTAACTTAATATGTTGGGGGTTTTTTTTAGAAACACCCAGATTACTTTTAACAGGAAAATAGCTGTTTGAACTAAATGTTTATCCAGTTCCATCAAAAGAGTCTTTGTTCAAATTTAGTCATTTATTGCTGTTACAGGCTTGTTTCAAAAATCTGTTGCTGTCATCAGTTGAGTTGTCTGATAAACAAGTTCTTCATTACTTCCTAGACACATCATCTTCACATGTTCTTGTGCTGGCTATAAATAAATCTGTATATGTGACTAGCACTGTTACTTTGCCTATTTTCAGATTAATTTAGGTAAATGCAAGTCTGAAAGATGCATTTTAGAAACCTGATTTTGTCCTCTGCATAAGAATGTCTCCAGTGCATGTCACTTCTTAAGTACATCCTATCTGAAAACTCAGAACAAATCAGGGTGCTGTTGCAGTTCCAAAAACTTTATTAGTGGTTCAAGTGATGCTTTAAGTTATGCTAGTGTTTTATGCTTTTCTCAAACTCAGGTCTGCAATTGATCTTGAAGAAATGGCATCTGGCCTTAACAAAAGAAAAATGATCCAGCATGCAGTGTTTAAAGAGCTTGTTAAGGTAGGACTTCAAAATTCATCACTTTCCTTGTACAGTCTGGGCTTGGCAGTAGTGCAGTAGTAAGCCAAGCTCTTAGGTGGTTGTGTGGTACCTGCAGTTAGGTTTTCTGATGTGAAAGCACAACTGCAATACTGCAAACAGCAGTGTTCTCATTGAATTACACCCTGGGCGTTTCTCAAACTAACTTCAGTTTAAGCTTTAAGTTCAATTGTTCTTACTCTTCAATTGAAATATAAAGACAAGAGTAAGTACTGCTAGTTTCTAGACTGGCTCTGGTTGTCCCAGAACACAGCTTTGCTACCCTGTTGTTCTACCTACTTACAAGCCTTTGGCAGAGTGATAAGTAACAACCCAGCAGCTCAATGCAACATTTCTCATTAATCTGCCTGCTTGGTCAAATCAGGACTTGAGTATCTGTATTCTGCCCTCTTTCCAATTTACAGTGTAGTTCTTTTCTTCTTCTGTAGTCAGTGCCCAGAGATATGGTGGCTCTCAGGAATGTATCTACCTTCTACTCATTTCACAAGTGAGGCAGCAGCCCTAAAAAGCCTTCTGTGCTGTAGGATTCTGACTAGAAGAAGCCCATCCTGAGCAGTGACAAGAGGGGTGGAGGTCACCTTTCTGTGTTGGTTGTTATCCTTGTGCCATGTATACAGGCCATCCTGACTGTGCTTGCTGTTAGAAAGAAATTAATGTCGTTGTTGCACCATTATTATGCAGAATTATTATGCAGAACATTATATACTACAGATACCTTATAAAGGCTGTTGTTCACTGTAAATCAGAAAAATCTAAGCCAAATTAAGATGAGACTGTGCAAAAACTGTTTTTCTCCTTTGAATATGAAACCAGGCACCTAGCATGACTGTGACACCAACTGTTCTGTGCTTTTGAAATTTGGTTCTACTATCTATGTTACTCTGTTCTTTAGCTTGTAGATCCTGGAGTCAAGGCATGGACACCTACCAAAGGAAAACAGAATATTATAATGTTTGTTGGTTTGCAAGGAAGTGGTAAAACAACAACTTGTTCAAAGGTAAGTGCAGTGGATCTCTTTGCTTGGTTTTTGGTGTGTTTGTTGAGGTTTTTTTTTTTTTTTGCTTGGGGAAGCTGGTGGTCCTTGGGCTCCTTAGGTAGGATTGGCTTGTGATCTGTGCTGGTTTTGTTAGAAGGAACGTTCTGACTCTCTACCATGCAGAGATTCATTTGCAGAGAGGTTTCTGAGATGAAATGAATGTTGAAAGTAATATTCTTTTGGGGCAACTTATGGCTTGTAGGACTTCCTTCAAAATTTTTCAACTGAACTGTTGATGAAACAATAAGAGAATCTTTTTTTGTCCTTTTACTTAGTTAAACCACAACACTGTAGTTCGCTTTCTAGGTTTAAGACTAAATACTAGGAATGGGTATTCATTCCATTATTTATTTAGAAAAAACAGTGGAATTTGGCCTTTTTATTAGATACAAAGTATCAGTTAAGTGTAAGTTGGTGATGTGAAACCTCTTCCAGCCCCAGATTCATTGAGGAAACTTGTGTTTGTATTTTTTTAAGGCTAAAAAAAGAATGCTCTGAATAGATGTATGTTCACATCTGCAACGAGGCCTTCCCTGTTTGTTAGTGTAAGGTCAAGCAGCACACCATTCCTTGTGGGATTGTCCCCTTCCTGTGACAGGAAGTTGTAATCTCTGCTTTCCGTTTTCCAGGAGCCTCCTGGACTGTTTGTGCTTCACTGTGCTGCTTCTCCAGTAGATGTCAGGGTAGTTAAGTCCCCCACAAGAACCAGGGCCTGTGACTTTGAGGCTGCTTCAGGCTGTCTGTAGAAAGCCTCATCCACTTGCTCCTTCTGACCAGGTGGCCTGTAACAAGCACCCACAACAGCATCACCCTCACTAATCTGCCCTTTTGTCTTAAACCATAAGCTCTTGATTCACTCATTCACCCCAGGACAGAGCTTGATACATTCCAAGTTATGAGGAGAAATTATCCTGTGGAAAAAACACACATCTTCATTGTTTTTTGTCATCTCCTTTTGAAATGCACACATAGTGAAATATTCAGTATAGCCTCCTCTGATTTCAGAAGACTTTCTTAGTGCTTATGTAGGTGAACTTTATCTTGTATGTTTGTATTTGGTCAGTGTTTTGTGAATATATGTAGCTCCTGTAAAGCTGAGTGTTGTAGGAAGGTTAAGGATTCTGTTCAGTGCTTTAAAACATGTCCTTTCAATGGAAATATCTTTGTTCCTCTGAAAGTACAAAAACACAGAGCTGTACAAGTTGTAGCCATTATGGCACTTGATATTGAAGTATTGCTTTGGGTAGCTTCTACATGCTAGTCCAATCTGCAGTATTCACACTAAGTAGAATTCAGGAGTTAGTAAAATGGGAACTTAAGTTATTTATAGTCATTCCTAGAGATTGCCATTTCAAGAAAAGGAAATCAGAAGCAGAGTCAAGCAGGTGTTTTCATCTTGCCATTAATAATTATTTATAACATGCTTTTCTAAATAACGGCCATGCTAACCATGAAGAGTCTTACTCTGTGGCCTCAGTTATAGAAGGGCTGGCTTGAGTTTGTGTCCTCTGTGTGTGACTTCAGGCTGTTAGAAGTGTCATGTCAGTGGGACTTTGGTGTAACCACTTGTTTTGGGTTTCATTTCAGTTAGCATACTTCTATCAGAGGAAAGGCTGGAAGACTTGTCTAATATGTGCTGACACATACAGAGCAGGTAACACAGCCTTTAATGATGTAGTTTTCTATCTATAATATTTGAAGATTTCCTTAAATAGTCCCTTGACTATACCTGTCTTACAGGTGCTTTTGACCAGTTAAAGCAGAATGCCACAAAAGCAAGAATTCCTTTTTATGGGAGGTAAGCATCTTTGAGAAACACTTTGGAGAACAATTCAATTTCAATTATGTATTGTTCTGTTCTGAACATTTTGCACTAAACCCCATCTAGCATGGCCTAATTGCTTTCATTTTAATAATATATTCTGAGTAATACTTGCTCTGATCATATGAAAATTCTGTCCAGTTCAGTATATTGCCAGGAGTAGCAGGTAGGATAGTGTACAAAGAGATCAGCTGTCCAGGAATTACTCCCTATAGTGCTTACTCAATGTATAGCAGTTCAGACTTGTACCAGGCATGGCCAGATTTTTGAGAAGTATCTCACAGATCAAAGGATATAATTTTTAGATGCTTAATTTTTATTATCACATAGAGACAGAGGTGGACCTGAAATGTCTTTTTATAAAAGAGTAAATAACTTTCCCCTAAGATTCACTGAAGGTGAACTGTCTAGATGCTCAGCTAAATCTTATTTGAGAGGGTCTTGTAGAACTTACTGCAGCTTCCAGCAGGTGAGACTTCAGGCTTTGTGCTTCAGTTCACTGAGCAGTAAGGGTAAATGGTTTAGGAAGACATATTTGTAACCAATTTTTGCTTTACATAAGAGGAGTTCCCTCTTGAAATCCAGATAGACTTATAGTAAACAAGTTTATAGTCAAATGATGAAATTCTGAATCTCTTTGTCTTTTTGATCAGTTATACAGAAATGGATCCTGTAATAATTGCTTCAGAAGGTGTTGAGAAATTTAAGAATGAAAACTTTGAAATAATCATCGTTGATACAAGTGGACGTCACAAACAAGAAGACTCTTTGTTTGAAGAAATGTTACAAGTTGCTAATGCCATAGTGAGTAGTTTTGAGAAATACAGTAATTTGGCATATGATGGTTGATTAATCTTTATCTTAATGTTCTGTGTGCATTTTGCTTTAATGATGATATGAAAATAATGATTTGCTCCTAGATGATATTAGAAATGACAGATATAAATAAGCAAAGGCTGAATGACCAGTGCTTCTTAGTTTTGTGATGGTTTTAATTCTATGGTTGATTAATCTTTATTCTAATGTTCTGTGTGCATTTTGCTTTAACTCCTAGATGATATTAGAAATGACAAACAGATATGAATAAGCAAAGGCTGAATGACCAGTGCTTCTTAGTTTTGTGATGGTTTTAATTCTGTTCTTCTGTTCAAGGGTGCTTGCATATAATCAGACTGCCATTCCTGCTTTAACTTTCCCTTTTCAGGATCTTTGCATTGAAAAACTAGATGAAAGAACCAGTCTGGTCTGGTTTCCCTTAACTATGAATACTAAACTTTCTGTGATTGTCACAAATAATTGCACTGAGACAGAGAAGATGACTGGATCACTTTCAACAGTTTTGATATGTAAATGAAGCTGTTGTTTCTATGGGTTTTAAAAGTCTGGCTATTTGTTTGATTCTGTGGTCTTGCATGACAATATGACACTTCCCACACAATTCTTGGTAATGCTAACTTATTTTTAGTGGCGTGGATGTCTTAAATATCTGAATGTAAAACCAAATGGAAGATGTTAGCTATTAAATGCTTTGTAGATACTAATTATCTTATTGGCTCAAGATACTGGCTAAAATCACTTGAATCATAACTAATAAGCACAAATGTATTAAATTGTAATGTTTTGTGTTGTAGATAAATCGTATAGTCATTCAGCATCAGAATTTTCTTAATGGTCCTTAGATAATACTGTTTATAAAACAGTGGTCCTGTTTTAAACCCTAGCATACAGCTCTTATATACTGTTATTGCAGTAAGTTCTGCTACTGAAACTATAATAATGATAATGCATGAACATTGTTTAATAAAACAAGAAATTATTTTGTGTATCTCATTTCTCCTAGCAACCAGATAACATTGTTTATGTTATGGATGCTTCCATTGGCCAAGCTTGTGAAGCTCAAGCTAAAGCTTTCAAAGACAAAGTAGATGTAGCTTCTGTTATTGTTACTAAGCTCGATGGACATGCCAAAGGAGGTGGAGCTCTTAGTGCGTAAGTACCAGTGGTGCTAGAATAGTGTCCAACATCTGGCTGTGCACAGCCAGCTGTGAAATGCATTAGTGTCTCACAGAAACCTGTCCTGGGGACTGTCACTGTCACACTGCACAGAATCTAAGTCACAGTCACGCTTGGATTCTTATCCTTCTTCTAGTGGGTAGGATCACCTGTTGATGAAACTTAACATCAGCCTTCAGTGATAGGATGTATTTTCAGTACAGTAGTTTGTATTGAAACGGGTCAGACTTTTGTCTTCTGAAATCAGCATCAAGCAATATTCATTGCCTATTGTGTATTAGGCATTTTTCCAGAAAGATAAATTTGGGCTCAATAGATAGGACTTAAATGAAGAATTTGCACCTCAAGAGATTTTTTTCCAAAAGGGGAAAAACTGTATCTCATAATATGTGACCTTAAAACTACAATGAAAATCAAACTTCTGGATTGGCAGTGTTCAGAAACTTGATGAAAAGTTGTCTGCAGTTATACTTGCCCAAATTCCATTCTTGTTGGACTTCCCATGTTCTGTATCTTGGCAGAGTTTTGACCAGAAAATGCCACATTTTATCTTCAGCCTTATCTGCCTTTCTGTGATACAGCTTGTCTGGAGCTGAGGTGTTTTGTCAAAAGAACTGACCCTGACTTGCTAATTCTCTGCCTGTCTTTGACCTGAAGTGTTAAGAGTTCCTAAATTGCCATATGTATTTTGCTTTATTTATAGCATAATGTTGGAAGACTAAAGCTTTTGGTATTTTCAGTTTGCTCTTGTTCAAGTTGTCGTATGCTTGTGTGCTTTAAGTGTGCTGTGTTTGCTCTGTACTGTCTGTGGACTGGAAACTTAAGTTTTATCTAAAGGATAGTGCCAGTGTGGTGGAAAGGTTCTGAGTTTTCTTATGTCTGGGCTTTTTCCTGTGTTGAATATGAGATTTGTCTTTTGTATGAGGTACCTTGAAGAAATTGTAATCAATGCCTCTCATGTGACAGTATTAGGATTAGTATCAGTGTATGTATCAGGAATATCCCAGTATTAGGATAAACTGGAGATTATTTATTTTTCTTTCTTTCCTCTCAAGTTTTTTAAACTCAGCAATGAAAATTAGCAAATTGTACTAATTAGAGAAAAATCTTTTTAACTACGAGCTAAACATCCAAGTGCTGGGTGTTTTTTCATTAACACTTTGAGGAGTAAGGCAGATACTTCAGACACAATGCATAGTGTTGATGATGCCTAGCTGATTATAGTATAAACGATGGATGGTGTTTGAGAGGCCATTTCATAAAATATATTTTATTGCAGAGTTGCTGCCACAAAGAGTCCTATTATTTTTATTGGAACTGGCGAGCACATAGATGACTTTGAACCCTTTAAAACACAGCCTTTCATCAGCAAGCTGCTTGGTATGTCCAATGTACAACTGTACTTGAAAGACACTTAGAATTGGATAGTGGAAAGTCAAAGTGTATTTTTTTTAATGCTAATTTCAGATCTCTTTTCTTTATCCAGGTATGGGTGATATTGAAGGATTGATAGATAAAGTAAATGAATTGAAGCTGGATGATAATGAAGCACTCATAGAAAAGCTAAAACATGGTAAGTTATTCCCAAGGCCTGAATAGCAGATGCATTACAGTGACCTGACCATGGCAGGTTCTCTGTGATAGAGGCCACTGAGTTAATTTGTGCTGTGTGTAGACACAAACAGCTTGTTCATGTGTACAGTGAAGAATAGTTATTCTTTCTCCAGTAAATGTGACAGCCAACTAAATTGAGTTATGTTTTTCAAACAGTAAGTCTGTCAGACTACAACTGCAGAAAAACTAGCTTAGTGGTTCAGCATGTGCCATCTGAAACTGTTTAGCCATATTAGTAGTGAAGAGGTTTATTTATCTGCTTATCTATGTAGTACAGTATTTACCTTATGAATACAATGAATAATTTAAAAAGGAGAGTAAGAGCAAAATGCTGGTGTGACTTCTGCTAACTTTTCTTTTATTGTTGTGCCTCAGGTCAATTTACATTAAGAGATATGTATGAACAATTCCAAAACATCATGAAAATGGGACCATTCAGTCAGATCTTGGTTAGTTATCCCCAAAATAATTTTATTTTAAAACTCTTTATTGAAATTTGTTATAATCTCTGTTCTGTTTTTTAAAAAGATAAAATTATTTGCCTACTGCAGTATGCAACTACTGAACTAACAGTTGCTGTCTATTTTTCTTTCTGCTTAGTTAAAGTTAGCTTTGCCTATTTTGACACAGCTTTTCTTTTCCATTCTTGAAACAAGGGCATGATCCCTGGTTTTGGAACTGACTTCATGAGTAAAGGCAATGAACAGGAATCAATGGCAAGGTTAAAGAAACTGATGACTATAATGGACAGTATGAATGATCAAGGTAATACAAATTTCACCCACACTTTTTTTCTTGATTGTTGAACAAGCTTATGTAGAGAGATCTTTCTGGAAACAAAAATTCATATTGCAGCATGTACAATGACAGAAAATGATAATAAATATTTAACATTCTTGGGAATAGCAAGGAGTGCATGTGTCTCCAAATTTCTTAATAAATCTAAATATCTAGAGATAGAGCAGCAACAGGCAAAGTGTCTTATATAGAGTAGATGGGCTTTAAAATAATTTCCATTCTATTGGAAATCAATGTGCTTTTATTCATTGCATTGTAACTGTTCAGAAATTATTAATGCTATACTTGCAAATTAATAAGGTATGTTAATCATTAATCTGGCATTGCTGTCTTTTTTCTACTCGACCTCAAATTTACTTGGTGACATAGCCTGGTCTCTGGAATTCAAAGTGTTGTTTCTAGTCCACCTGTAATTCCTTTAGTAGTATGCTCTTGCCCTTGTGCTAAACCCATTAATATGGCTCAAGACCAAGTATCCCAAGAGCATAATTTAATCACACAGCTTTTTTCTACCATAGTGATTAACATATGAGATAAGAGCTTCTTAGTATTACTTCCTAGAATATTATGTCTCAGTAATTTATGTGAAATTTTGCATTGCCACTTTTAAAACTAAATTTTTATTTTCTGGCTCAAAATTAAATTCTCAGAAATGAAAGCAGGTTTGCTGTTTGTTACCAATTGTAACAGTTTTTAATGTCAGTGACTCAATGGATTTTTCTTTTCCACACTGTAATGCAGAACTCGACAGTACAGATGGTGCCAAAGTTTTCAGTAAGCAGCCGGGAAGAATCCAAAGAGTAGCAAGAGGCTCTGGTGTTTCTACCAGAGATGTTCAGGAGCTTTTGACCCAATACACTAAGTTTGCACAGATGGTGAAAAAGATGGGAGGCATCAAAGGGCTTTTCAAAGGTAAAAAAAACCCAACCAAACAAAAAACCCCAAATTGATACCTAAAATTTATTACCCCGATACCCCACTCTAAAATTTTTTAACTAAGAGGGGGAGGTCACCTGATGTGTGTATACAGAGGAAATGAGAAAATACTGATTAGGGAGAGGAGAAAATGATACCTAAAATTTATTACCCCTATACCCCACCCTAAAATTTATTATTGTGTATACAGAGGAAATGAGAAAATACTGATTAGGGAGAGGAGAAAATTAGTTGTAGCTTGCTCATTTTCATGATATTTGAAATTTGTTTTATGTCACTGGTAAGAGCTGCACTGTTCTTCATGACACCAGTGTGTAACTTAGCAAGGAAAGCTACTGCATTTCTGTCACTGCAGACTTGATTACTACTACAGTACTAACACTTCAGTCTGTTATGTGGAGTGCAGGGAGTCTTGATCCTAAATGGGCTTCTAGTGGCTGATGTAGTAACTTGTAATAACGAGCTCATTAATATGAATCTAGAATAAGAAGGTAACATTTAGATTTATTTTATTTCTAGCACCATTTGTTAATCCTCTTTCTTACAATTGCTCTTTTCTTTTTATTTAGGTGGTGATATGTCCAAGAATGTGAACCCATCTCAGCTGGCCAAACTGAACCAGCAGATGGCAAAGATGATGGATCCAAGAGTTCTTCATCACATGGGTATGTGCTGACTTTTTATAGCTTTAAGGGAGGACTGTCAATTATAGTGGAGCATTTGAGATACAGAAGTGAGGAAGGGGATGGGAGACTATCTGCATTATATATATCAGTATGAAGTATTTCTAGGGTTTCTAACAAGAATCAGAAAGTTGAGTCCAAATACTATGCACTTAGCAGTGCTTAATCTAGTCTTTCATTTGGATTCAGGTCTCAAAATGAGCATTTGGAATGGTGAAAGATGTCTGTGGTAAAACAAATCTTCCTAGACTTCCCTTCTCTTTGAAGATTTGCTCAAGTAATTAAATTTGACAAGAGCAACTTTAAATAAGAACTCCCATAACTGAACCTTACTGATTGTTAATAGTCATTCCATCAGGTTTTTTTCTTCTATGTAGCTCTTAATGCACAAGTAATCTCAAAACCTACTTAAAGTCTGGTGTTTTGCAGACCTTTCTGTAATTACTCCATTCTTTATTTTCAATAGATGTTTCTACCTGGTTTGACAGTTTGGGCTTCTGCCTTTGGATATTACTGGAATAGTGTGTGTACAGTAATGATGTCTCAAGCAAGAGAGCTGTGCTTCAGAGTTCATTAACACATTCGTGTTCTCACTTATTTTCTGCAGGTGGCATGGCAGGTTTGCAGTCAATGATGAGACAATTTCAACAAGGTGCTGCTGGGAATATGAAAGGCATGATGGGATTCAATAATATGTAAAGAAGCCTTAACATAAATGGACTTGGTTGACTCTTCATTGCAACTTCAGTGAATGAATTTGCTTTCTTCCTTTTTACAGTGATGAGAGAGTGGTCTTTTGAAATCTTATCCAGGCTTCTCAGTTTCTACATCTAATTTCTGAAAACTATTTTTGCTTAAATTAGTTCCTCTCCACTAATAACTGATGGCACAAAGAGCAATTCAATTTAATAAAACAAAATCATGATGTAAAATTTTAATATGTAGAGACACTTTTTAATCGTTTACATCAAATGGCAGCCATTATATTTGTAAACAACCCTGATCTTTGGTTATAGTAACATAAAATGTCACAAATATACTGTAAAATAAAATTTAAGTGGTTATAAATAAGGGAATGGCCTGTATCTTCAGTTCCTTTTAACTGTCCTTTCAGTGTGTAATAAGATTGTTTTCTTAGTTTGACTGTTGTGTAACTCATGTTTGGCACAGGTACTATTAAGAATAGTTCAGTACCTGAAAATGTGCTGTTGGTGCTCATCTGTGGAGCATTTTTAGAATGTGGATGTGCTGTGCTCAGGTTTGTACAAGACTTTGTTGTGTAGAATTTCATCATTCTTCCCCTATACACAAAGAATCAAAGGACTGAAAAAATACAGTGCAGATAGCAAACTGTCTCGTATGCTGAAGATAATCTTCATACCAGGCTGCCAGTTAAGCAGTTCTTTTGTTCTGGAGGTAATTTCTAAAGCATATTAGGTGGAATTCCATGCTGGTACTGAACTTTAAAACAGAAATAGCTGTATTTAACAGAGCATAGTGCCCCAATTTAGCTGCATTCTGATCTTAATTTCCTATAGCAGTTTAGTGTTTCAGTTTACTGTGCTGGTGTAGAAAGGGTAGAATCCACAGGCACACTTCAGAGTATGAGTAGACCAAGATGACCCTTGAAATCCAACATAGATCTTGGCAAATATGGTAAGATCTTGTATCCTTATCTTAGGGTAAGAGGGTGTATTGTAAATTTTAATATACTGCAGTGTTTAGTGTGTAAATGGACATCTATTGCTGATGTCTAGATAAAAGTTAAATGCCATACTTAAAACAATTGGGTCCCTCTGTCAGCCAGTTCTCTGAGATGGCAGCTAACAGGGAATGTCTGATATATGAAATTAGACTCTTGCACTAATAAAACATAAGCTATGCTGTAATGTAGTTTATAATGTGAAACTATCCTGCTTGATTAATGGTATGTGTTCAGTATAGGGAGGATGCTGAAAAATCTTCCAAGTGTGTCATCTATCTAAATGCACTGCATTTTATGTATAACATTAATCTGCAAAATGAGCAGTTAATTTGAATCTCTGTATTTTAAAATAATGAGTCCTTGCATAGCACTAGTTTGTTGGGGAGCCGTCCTCAGCTTCTGAAGTGGTGTGCTTACTAAAACCTGACTTTTCTTTTTTATAGTATTTTCAGTTCTTGAGCAGTATAAACCAATGCAACTTGCAAAACCATGCAGGAAAGAGTATGAAATCTTGGTTTGAAATGCAGTCCCTAGGGGAGAGTGGATGGTTAATGCTTTTGATGGAAATCAAACATGAATAGGGATATTGAGGATGAACAGTGAAGCACTGTGCTCCAGGACAGTCAGCTCAGTCAGACTGTCAAGTTACCAACAATTTAACTCTTATTTTCAGCTTCTGGCCTACATTTAATTTTAACTTTTAGTTCACCATTTCCAAAGTACTAAAACTGCAACCAGATACAAAGAGAGCTGTCACTAGCTGAGTGTTGGCAGAGACAAGGGCAAGTTGAGAATGCATTTCCTTTAAAGTATGTGTTAATTGTTATTTCTAAGACATGCTGGAATTAACAAAGTGTATATTGCTCTTACCTTAGCAAGCCAGGTAGAAAATACTTGGGAGCCTGCTTAGAAAAATTGCCTGAGGATCTCAAGTCTGGAAAAAAAAATACATCCATGATGGAGACACTAAGAACAAGAGTTCAACTGTATAGGAGCACATCTGAATGGATTGGTGACTTACATGGCCTTTCACAGCTTGATACAAATAAAACTCTGCTGGCAAATGTAACACTCCAGCACCATTTTCTTGCATTGGGGTTTTTGTCCTCATCCTCAATGGCATCTCAGAAAAGTCTGCAGAAAAGTTTTGTCTAGCATACAAGAACCTTGAAGAGCTAGAGTCAAGCAAAAGTCACTGGAAATGCTTAGAAGACTGAGGTCTGTCTTCCTGTGTATAAATTGCTGAAAGCTGTTGCTGCTGTCAGACAAGCTTTTGTCTGAGCTGTTTGAGCTCCGGCTGCTGCTGAGCAGCCTGCTAAGAGGAAATGGTTATGATGGTCAATAGATAGCTGTGTGATAGAAGCTGGACAACTAACTATTAGCACACACAAACAGCTCTGGCTTTATTTGTTAACTCTTTACCTTTCCCCAGGGCTTTCAACACTAATATGCCGATAGTTAGTTGTCCAGCTTCTATTAGCACACACAAACAGCTCTGGTTTTGTTAACTCTTTACCTTTCCCCAGGGCTTTCAACACTAATATGCTAAATTTATTAAACTTGTCCAAGTTGCAAATGCCAATTGTTCTGGGAGGTGAAAGATTAAGTTCAATGTGACTGTACAGCTGCTCTAACCACAGCAGAGGTGAAGGAAAGCAAGTTGGTTGGTTGATGATTTAATGCTGCTCTTGAGGAGCTGTTACTTTATTCCAGCCAGTCCTTCACAAACCCTCAACAGAGTATACATCCTCTTAAGAAATACTTGTGTATCCTAACATTAGTTTGTTTCTTTGTAACTTCAAGTGATGTATGTTTGTTGTAATCCCTTGAGCAGCTATTCAGCCCCGTACTGTCTGAAATAATAGTCTAACCTTTCATTCTGTAATCATTCTGTTTCTGTAATCATACATTGTATGTCAGCCCTTTTCACAAGGGAATGTTTCTGCCTTCTGCTGGTATAATCATAAGTCTGATGCATCTGTACTTTACCTGGGCTTTTGTCATGGGCTCTGGGTTATGCTTTGGTAATATGACTAAGAAAGTATCTAAGAGCCCATATTGTGCTATAGAGTGTAATTATCTGGAAACTATTCTTAATGATGCAGGATTGAAAGACGGCTCTTGCTGTCATGTAAGTGCATGTTACAGCCATTGGTTCCAAACCCCCCCTCCAAAAAATTTTAAACTACTCCCTCCTCAATCCCATAAAAACAATGTTTCAGACGCTTCCACTCCAGCTTTTTTCACTGGTACTTGATATTTACTGATGTGCATTTTGCCGGGATCAACACACACTGGAGTCAGAAGGGCTCCCACCTCTCTCAGGAGCAGCTGAGCAAACCTCTTACCTGCAAACACTTCTCGCACCCTCCTGGGCATGCTCGTTATTTTCTCAGCCCACCGCAGCCCAGGGGCCAGGGCACTCTTGCTCTGCATTTCTTTTTGTTCAAGGGCTCGCTCTTCACAAAGGGCTGAGTTGCCTGAACCAACACCCAATCCTGCAAGGGTGGACAGGGCTAGAAAGCCCCCTAACTACTGTCAAGGAACTCCATCTGCTTCTTACAATAACATTCTATTATTTGGCAGGGTTTCACGCTGTTTTGGGAAGATGATGTGTGGGTTGCCCCAGAATCAGTGTTTTTTCCCTCAGTGCAGTCGGGTATGTTTCCGCCTCTGTGGAGGTACGGCTGTCCCTGGCAGCCCGGCCGCCCTTGGCCTCTCCCGTGCCTCCCTCCCGGCTCCGGTTAATGCCGGGCTGCGGAGAGAAGCGAAACGACCGAAGCCGGTGGGAGCGGTGCGGTGTCTCTGCCGTGTGGGTGCGGGTCCTGCGCGGGGCCAGCCCCGCGGGCCGCAAGCACCGCCCCGGCGGGCGGTGTCCGCGGCGAGTCCGGCCGGGGCGTGGGTGGTGGCCGCGGCCTGACGTGCCGGGGGTGCGCGGGGCCGGGGGAGCCCCCGTTCCTCGCTGTGGCGGCGGCGTGCGGTGGCCGGGCCGCGGGAGAGGAGGGCTGCCAGTCAGGCAGTGTGCCCTGTAATTACAGACAGCGCGGCGGGCGCGCGTGTCTCCGGTGTCTCCTGCTCGTCGGCGAACAATGCCTCTGACAAACGAGCCTGATGAATATTAGAGTGGGACAGGTCTCCGCTTCCCTCGGTGCTGTCAAGTTGGCGAAGGCGTGGGAGGTGATCAGGGACAGCAGCTCTTACTTACAGCGCAGCCCGGCGGGCTGGCCGCTCCGCGCCGCTCCGCGCTCCGGCCTCGCTGCTGTGGGCGCTGCCGCTGCCCCTGCCCGGCCGGGGCCCCTTCCCGAGGCTTCCTGGGAGGGTGTCTTTTCTAATAGTCGTCCTCCGGCTCTGTCATCTTGTCTTTTGTTTCTGAAAGACGTGTGCTGTTTAATTTCAGTTGAAACACAAGGGTGGAAAGTCAAACGAGCAATATGAAAAAAACCCCAAACCGCTCAAGCCTGAACAGCACCCCCACTTCCAAGCCCTAGCCAAAAAAATTATCCAAAAAATCAGTAAGACAGCTGAGATAGCATGGTAGAAACATTTTTTTTTCATTAGCTATTACCAGCCTTCTAGTGACTAGCAGTGTCTGCTCGGTAGATCTGTGCAAATTGAATTACTTGTCTTTCTCACGGAAAGTGGACATCACACACTCTGGTACTTTGGGTCATAAGCTCTTACAAGGATTCCTGCATTTGAGAGGTTAAAAGTCAAATGGCCTGGTCTTCCTATTTCATTTTACTTTTCTTCTTTGTCTCCTTCATGAAACTTTATGTTATTGCATCACCTAATACTACTTGTGTCAGCTCTCCCAGCTTGCCTGCAGGTGTCCAGGCACACCTTATCCTTAACTGTAGTTTATTTATTTTGGCATTTTATATGTGGACTAAAATTCTGTTGTGCTGGGTATTGTACCAGCACTATCAAAAGATTCCCTGCTCTCTCTCTGATTCTGGATAAAGGGTAAGGTAGAGTGGGTGTAAAGAGGGCAGACAAGGAATATAAGTTTCAGATCCTGACTGCCTGACAGGCAAGGTTTGTATGTGCGCCATAAAGCCAAGAAAAATTCCAAGGGGACATTTAAAAGAAAGGGGAAGTCACCTTACAGTGTTTACCGAGTACCTTAAGAGTGTTAGCTGGTGTGGCAAAAGCACAAGAGTGACCAGCCTTGGTGTCTAACATTGCCTGAATAGAAGCCAAAGTAAATACTTCTGTGACGTGGCCACAAATGCTGAGTCTTTCAAGACCATATAATGTGTTAGAGAAGGAGGAGCCTGTGGGAAAAAAATGAGGTCAGAAACCTGACTGAAGCCATGCACTAGAAGAAAGATCTTTGTAAAAACTTCCTAAATTGGAAAAGAAGATC